CTATGTTGAACAACCCACAGATTTTGTCATTCCTACTCAAGCAAGCTCCTAGAGCGTGGTATGACACATTGTCCCTCTTCCTAGTGAACCATGGGTTTACTAAAGGAAAGATTGACAAAACTCTATTTCAGATTTCTATTGCTAACCAGATTCTGCTAGTACAAATATATATTGATGATATTATATTTGGAAGTACTAACGCAGAACCTTGTAAGAAATTTTCTCAAGTTATACAGAGTCAGTTTGAAATGAGCATGATGGGAGAACTAAGCTACTTCCTTGGACTACAAGCGAAACAAGTCCCAGAAGGAATCTTTATCAATCAAGGGAAGTACACTAAAGACCTAATCAAGAAGTTTGGAATTGAGGGAAAGGCTTCTATCAAGATTCCCATGAACACTTCACAAGGAATTGGACCGGATGAATGGATGATGAAGACAAAGATGTTGATGCAACTATGTACAGAGGAATCATTGGATCTCTTCTATATCTAATTGCAAGCAGACCAGACATATCATTCTCTGTTGGAATCTGTGCCAGATACCAATCAAAGCCCAGGGAGAGCCATCTAAGTGTTGCAAAAAGGATCATCAGATATATCAAAGGAAATCCAAATGCAGGCCTACGGTATCCCAAGGGAGGTAACTTTGAACTAATTGGTTACTCTGATTCAAATTTTGCAGGTTGCAGATTAGATAGAAAGAGCAAATCTGATCACTTTCAATTGCTAAGTGGGAGACTTGTCTCCTAGTTAAGCAAGAAACAGAACTCCATCTCAACAAATATAGCAGAAGCAGAATACATTGTTGCTGGAAATTAGTGTGATTCTAGTCAAGCAGATCAAAGAACTCTCATGAAATTTGTGTTTTAGCAATAACAAAAAGAAATTGGTGTTTCAGCAACAAGAAAAAGAAATCCATCTCATTCGACTCAGACCTATACATTGACAGGCTCATGCCTCTACTCAACAAATCACAACTGACACATACAACAAACTCTATAAAGTGGAATGAATCCTTGCCTCTTCCGAGAAGACTTAACATAGACGCTACCTTCAACGCCAAAGGAAGTGGGGGAGGAGCTATCCTCAGGGAAGGTGATCTGAAATAGACAGCATGCTAGAGAAGGTTTTATCCGTGAAATTTGGTGCTCGATCAAATTTGGGGTGTTGACTTTTGAAAGAGATTTGGTCAGAAAATATTTAAACTGTAAGACCTTTCCAAAAAAACTAAGTGTTGCTTCTCGAGCTAGAACCTCGAGAACAGTTCTTGAGCCCGGTCTTGAGGAATGTGCAAAATGTACAAGGGAAAGTTCTCGAGCCCCGAACCTCATGAAGCTTTCTCGATCCGTGGCTCGAACTCTGGTTCCTGAGCCCCTGTAAAAATGTGAAAACGATGAAGTCTTATATCTCGAGCATGGGACCTCGAGAAGCTTTCTCGAGCTCAAGAACTCGAGACCTTCTTCGAGCCTTAAATCTGTAATCCAATCTCAAACCAGGGCCTCATGAATTGTTCTCGACCATGATTTTGAGTTCCATTCCTGCAAAATACAATGTTAAACATATAAACTATTTTCGAGAACTAACATAGAAGAAGAATTAGAGAGCAAAGGAGGATTTGCGATAGGGATCGAGGAAGACTAGAGGGTTTTGAGTTCTGAGATCGTGTTTGCGAGGAGGAGTAATGAAATGAGTTCGAGAAAAGGTTTATTGCAAAAAATTGCAAATTTACTGCAAAAAAACTGCAGATTTATAGCCTATTCCAAACTTCTTTTGGCAATTTCATTATCTAAAGCCATATAGGCATGTATGTATGTCTATATAAAGATGAGAACATTGATGATACTTGATAAAGACTACAAGGCAAATGTTTGACTTAAATAATGAATCATGTTTCTAACATCACATCAGAATAATGATCTTGGATGAGACCAAGATAAAATATTGAACCTGGTGAGTCTTTATCTTTGATCGTACTTGTCTCTAGTATTATAAGCATGGAAATATAAATAAATGCTAATATTTTGAACTTTTTGTTATCCAGATCTATGATACACATGAAGAGGGAAGAGTGGCATCCGCTGCTATTAGTAAGTGTGTTGTATGAATGCTGGGAAAATACATATAGGCCTTTCTATCCCACTTTTTTGTTTTTTGTTTTGTTTTCTATCTCGCATTGTTAGAAGGAAATGAATTATTACTATTGCATTTCCCATTACAAAGTTAAATATGCAAAGTTAAATATGACTTATGATCAATATCTCATTAAGGTATGTTATAATCTATAATCAATATTTTATTGTTTGTAGGTTGGAAACTTATTTTTTTTACGCTAAAATGGTAAGGTCATTCTATTCTTAAGGTTTTCTATGATCTATAATGCCACGGGTAAGGTCATTCTATTTTTGCTCTAAATAACAATTTGCTTATTTTATACTTGAAAAACATTAAATAGTTAGGTAAGCAACTAAGGTGTCATATTTTATGCATTTCACTTTTTATTTTCTTGTTTTAGTGTTCTTACGGAACATGCAATAATTTGAACTTCTCAAAATTTGTCTCTGATCTTCAGGTATGTCCTAATTCACAACATATGAAGAGGTTGAATACTTTTGACTAAAGTCATGTAATTTATAGCATTGGGAAAATATCATATGGACTTTGATGCTTTGCCATTGCCCACCTCACACTCTATATGTGTGTGTCTATGTGTGCTCATAAGTGAGTGTGAACTGGTGTTGGTCTCTGTCATTTGGACTGACGACAATCTGAAAAATGACGTTGATGAAATAACTAAGCAGCAGTAAAAAAGAACAGATTCGGTTTGATACTTTAAGCATTACAAGAAGGTCTCAGTATATAGCTGATCTTTTAGGCATTGCGTTGCTTGGACATATCACATTAATCCCCTACAATACTGGGTAAGTTATTGTCACGAATGCAAAATGTTCTCGTTTTATGCCAAACTATCGTTTATTTTGTATGAGATATTTACAAACATGTGATATATATGTACCAATCATTGGGTGTTGCTCGCAATTGACATGGCAATGAAAACGGTGTATGATCTGGAATCTATAGGAGGATCTCCATCAGAAGATTTGGAAAGAATAGTGAACCAATTAAGTGAAATGTTAAGTTAAACGTTATATGTGCTTTGTTGTGATAATCCGTAGCCCGTTTAAATTAAAGTTGTTTTTAATAATGGCATTATCTCTTTTTGTTTTCAGATGAGTGAGGATTCATCACGCCTCAACTTCTAAGAACATGATGAATCTTAAATGGGTACGAGTCATGGTATGTGCATTTATTTTAAAGCAATTTTAGTGGAATGAGATGTCAAATAAAACTTATTTTTTTGTGTGGATCTGATAACAGGATGTATCTATGATGCATAAGTAGTTTTGCTACGCGTTTGTATGAGTGAGTTTTATAATTGTATCATTAATAGGGTGTATTAATCATTTTTCAGTGTTGATGGATGCCGCTGCTATGAGGACTTGATGATGTGAAGGCGATGTTTAATTCTGAATTGTTATTCGCGTTGTGCAATTGATTTTGCTATATTTATTTAAGACGTGTAGGCGGCCGGCTCACTTTTTGGGACTAAATCGTGTAGTTGCTTAGAATTCTATTAACTCAGTTGTAAAATGATCACTTTGGTGTTGGATGTTGCTAGATTTTTTGTCATGTTTTGTCCAGGCTCGAGCAGAGTATTTTCTGATTTTGCATAACACCTAGAATGCAAACTTCAACTACAATGTAGCTTTAGGTTTGAAATGAATATTGTATTTTAAACGTTCAATCTATTGTTTGAGATTTATTGATTTTGTTATCGTTTATGGGTTTACTGAATATTGAATTGGAATTTCTAAAATATAATTGATTTAGAATTTCAAAATTATATGGTTTTGGAATGCTGAAACAATACAAAACAAAGTGATACCAAAGTGTCACTAACTTGTCATTTTGCTTGGATGGAACACAGAATTATGTGATATCATGGTGTCATTAGCATGTGTGATGTAAAAGTGTCGCTGAATGGTTGTGTCGCATATGTATCATTAATTGGTGATACTACGGTGTCATAATTTAGTGACACTTTTAGTGACACTTGTTTAGTGTCACTAGCCCCCACTTTCAGCGATACTTTTTGAGTGTCACAGAAGCCTGCTAGTGACACTAATTTGGTGTCACTGTAAGACATTTTTCTAGTAGTGAATTACTCACTATCACCTCAATTATATATCTCTCCTCGGAGAGTGGGTACTCATGATGGAGTATATTATCATATACTACATGGGTATTAACCTTTACGCTAAAGAGATAATTATTTTACTTGTTCCCAAAGTATTTCCTTGTACATTATAAATATTATCTTCCATCTTGTGGAAAAAGGTCACATTTATGAGTTATGACTTTCAAGCTTATTGTTACTCTGTTAAATTTCCTGCTCGATTTATACTTTACATATTTTCCGACACTCCCTCAGTTTTACCCACCCCTATGTCGGCAAAGCCATCAATATTGTTCCAAAAAAAGATCATATGTTTGGTTTCTCAAAATAGGACTAAATATTACATTTATGCTATTAATTTAGTCAATTAATTAATATAATTGATTGCCATTAGTTCACTTGCATAACCAAGACAAGTATGTTAGTGACGACAGCTCAGCAACAGTGCGGTCCAAATAACTAGGTGCAACAATGCTTCAACCCTAAGAGGCTATTATGGTGCAATCACAAATGGAAAATTCTATTTATGACAATTTAAATTAAACTAGTAGGTTCTATTTTAAAAATGACATTCTTTTGATCCTATTTAAATGTTATAGGCAGTATGATCTTATTTGTTTTGCAAAATCATTTACGACACAAGGTAGTGGTAGTAATTGCTGGCTGTCACGGCCGAATGTTGTTTTGCAAATCAGTCCCTCCCATACCTTTTGCCGTCCTAATAATAATTAATTTCCCTCCCATACATACATAACATAATTCAGTTGAATATTCCAAATCGCGTACATATACAGAATAACCCACCCTGAAACCTCCCATTCTTTGTAAATCTTCCCCCTCTCTCTCTCTCTCTCACACACACACACACAGCTTCTTTTGCAGATTCAGCATGGTGCTGCAGCTAAGGATAGCACTGCCCTTAGCTTTGCTGCTGCTGCTGCTGCTGTTTGCCACTGCAAAAGCAGAGAGTCCTTACAGATTCTTTACTTGGAATGTTACCTATGGCACTATCTACCCTCTTGGCATTCCCCAGCAGGTTGAGTAACTTAACAAGTAGTCACTTCCCTCTATATTGGATCTCGTTCTTATGGATCTAGTTTGGATTTCACGTGTACCGTCGTCAATGGGGAAGATTTTGATTTACATATTGCCCGTCAAAGTTGACATTGCTGAGTTCAAAATGACATTTCTGCGTGGTTTTCATGTAGGGAATTTTGATTAATGAGCAATTCCCAGGCCCAGACATTCACTGCGTAACCAATGACAATCTCTATATCAATGTGTACAACAACTTGAATGAGTCTTTCCTTATATCTTGGTGAGCCTCCTCACCATAATCACCGCTAGATCTGATGGAGCATCAACTACAAATTATGCACTCTAGTATTTTTTATCACAGCTGAAGCATGATAGAATACCATTTTACTGAAATTTGTATTTCCTTGGAGTTTTATTTTAATTTTACAGTAACAATATAGCTCACAGTAGAAACAGATCACATGGATCCAGTCAACAACACCCATATTATCACCCCTGTTGATTAAAATTTCCTGAGAAATTCTGGTGCACATGAAAGGATTAGCACAAATTTTGAAGCTGAATTATGCAGTCCTCCTGTGCATGCTAGTTTGAGTCCTTAAACTGTTAGACTCACTACTCTATGTGCCCTTCATCCGAAATACAGTGCGGAGTATATGGTATAACTCAAGGGTGTACTTGTGATCTTGAAAACTTTACTATGCGATGACAAAATTAGCTGTCTCCCAATAAAACTAGCTTATATGTTTACCGGCAATCATTATTAAATAAACATCTGCTATGCGCTGCTGAGTTGTAGGATCTAATGTTACTAACTAGTTGTACATATTTATTAATAAAATAGCATGTAAGATGGAACAGAGTGATGAGGTTGAGTAAATTTGTACAGAGAAAACCTGGAACCTAGTGGTACACAGTGTGACCTGTTTTTGTGTGTGCGCAAAATTACAGGAATGGGGTCCAGAATAGGAGGAATTCATATGAAGAAGGAGTCTACGGAACAACATGCCCGATTCCTCCGGGAAAAAACTTCACTTACATTCTGCAAGTGAAGGATCAAATTGGGAGCTTCTATTACTTCCCCTCTCTTGCCTTTCACAAGGCAGCTGGTGGGTTTGGGGGCATCAGGATTCTCAGCAGGCCCCTAATCCCTGTTCCTTTTGATGAACCTGATGGGGACTTCACCTTGCTGATTGGTGATTGGTACCAGAAAAACCACACGGTATATTGACCAGCCTCCCATCTTTTTTTGTTTAATTAGTTTGGCAAACAACGTGGTCAATGTTTTCTTTGTATCGAATAATACATACAGGACTTGAAAAAAATTCTTGATGGAGGCCATAAATTGCCATCAACTGATGGGGTGCTTATCAACGGCCGCGCCTCTAATGGCACTTCATTCACTGTCGATCAAGGTTAGAATATGGCACAAGATCAGAGCTTTTCTAATGTTTCAGTACCAGTGATTACAATACAATATATTAATCTTGAAATGGGTGACAGGAAAAACATATCGGCTCAGGATTTCCAATGTTGGGCTGCAAAACACTCTCAACTTCCGCATCCAGGGTCACAAGATGAAACTGGTGGAAGTGGAGGGAACACACACCATGCAAACCACCTTCTCCTCCCTGGATGTTCATGTTGGACAGTCTTACTCGGTGCTGCTCACGGCTGATCAGAACCCTCGGGATTACCTCATCGTTGCCTCCACACGCTTCACCGATAAGACCCTTACTACAACCGGCTTTCTTCGTTACAGCAACTCAGCTGGACCTGCCTCCATCCCCCTTCCTGGCGGGCCGACTATTGAGATTGATTGGTCTATCAACCAGGCCCGTGCAATCAGGACCAATCTCACAGCAAGTGGGCCAAGGCCCAACCCACAAGGATCGTATCATTATGGCATGATAAACACCACCAAGACTATCATTCTCTCCAGCTCTGCCGGACAGGTGAATGGGAAGCAGAGATATGCCGTTAACAGCGTGTCATTTATTCCGGCTGATACTCCGCTTAAGCTTGCCGATTACTTCAAAATCGGAGGAGTTTTTCGTGTGGGAAGCATTTCATCTTTCCCGACTGGGGCTGGTATTTACCTTGATACTGCTGTCATGGGTGCCGACTATAGGACATTTGTAGAAATTGTGTTTCAGAATGACGAGAACATTGTGCACAGCTATCATATTAATGGATACCAGTTCTGGGTTGTCGGGTAAGCAAGCAAGCAAGCAAGCTAAAAAAAAGATTTAATCGTAGTAACTATAAAACTTACACGTTTTTGTCCATATATTCAATGTCTTCTAATAATATTATAAAAAAAAAAACCTTTGACATTGAAATGTAGAATGGATGGAGGCAAGTGGACTCAGGCTAGCAGGGTTGAGTACAATCTTCGTGATGCAGTTGCACGTTCTACCACACAGGTGAAAATCCAAGATTTCCTCGATCTACCATACATAGTTCAAAATGGGAGATAGGAGATGAATCATATTATAATGCAGGGGTGTTTGTGAAATTGCAGGTGTACCCATACTCATGGACCGCTATTTACATGGCACTTGACAATGTAGGAATGTGGAATGTGAGGTCTGAATTTTGGGCACGACAATACCTCGGACATCAGTTCTACTTGAGGGTTTACACTGATTCAACCTCATTGAGAGACGAGTATCCTATTCCCTTAAATGCCCTTCTATGCGGCAGAGCAGTTGGTCGGCACAAACGACCCTTCCAAGCTCAAGTCTGAAGCTCCACTATGGAATAGTTAGAGGCAAACAGAAAAAAGTGTCATTTGTTGGTGGAGTTTTGCTGGTCAGCACCGGGCGGGGCCTATGATGACCTTATCTCAAGGTCACATTCTTTAAATTTCCACTCGAACATTGTATTTGTTGTTTCCATTCAACTATAATTACTATACTATTCTATTATCATCATTGCAATCTAATAAGAAGTTTCTTGTGCTTTCTTTTTGTACTCCTTTTGGGCCGCACACAGGGAGGAGAAGGGGATGGGTTGGGTGTGACCCTTTTATCAATTCTTAGTTACACTGTACGTACACTTGCTAAATTTCTCATATTGCAAGTTGGCAACTATTATTAATCTATTAAATCAATTTTGATAAAGGATTCCCATAAAGAAGTGAAATAAAAGAACAAAGAGAAATATAGTATTCTCTTTTTGTTGTAGGGACATGAGAGGTGTGTATTATTCCACAAGAAAGCCTCCTTTACACGGGAGGAATTAGGGTTTACAAGAGATGATGGGGTAATCGAACTTCTTCCTTTACTCGCAAGTACTTCAAATCGATGTGCTTAGCACCTTTCATTTTTTCGTGAAGAAGGTTGTTGTGGAATTATCACAATAAATTTAAAACGAAAAAATTAAAACCGTGCATTTAACATGACAATATCTATATGATAAAAAAACATGACAATATCTATTATAATTAATGACAGTATTTTTCAATCATGGCAGTGTTTTTCATACATGACACTAACAACTCCTATTTCGTGAAAAGAAACATACTAGTCCTATTTTGGAATTCCAAATCTCATTTGCTCCTATTTTGGGCAATTTCCCTAAAATTATTTTTGACGCATCATTCATTTATAAGTCAAGTTTACTACTCCCTCCTTGCCTAAAAATCCTTTCCACCTTCCTTTTTGGCCTGTTTCAAAAAATTCTTCCCACTTACCATTTTTGGACAATTTGTGTGGTTCACATTCATTTCACATTTTTCTTACACGACCACAACCATACATTTCCACTTTATTCCACTTTCTTAATAAGCGTGCCAAGTCAAACCGGGAAGCATTTTTAGGGACGGAGGTAGTATATTACTATAAATGTAAAGTTCCATCCAACTTAGAAAGAGCTTCCCGTACAGATGTATGGGTTGCCTTTTTGAGGATCTCTTAAAATATTTGACTTCCATACTTATAAGGGGTGTTTGGAACTGATTCTGCTTCTGCTTATTTTTTAAAGTAGAAGCAGAATCAGAATCAATTTTCAGAAACTGGTCACCCTCAATTTTCAGAGTTTGGTGTTAGACACATGTGGCTTTGGACAAACTTGCCGACCAGCTGGCTGTAGTCGACTCACACCCTCCATTGATAAAGTGTTCGGCCATTTGAGTCTTCACTACCCAGCCCGAGGCACACTTGTTTCTGCAATGATTCAGTGCAGCATCAACGTCAACTTTCACCGTATCACCTCCTGCTCTTCTCTATTTTCTCTCGTGATAGAGAGCAGCGAGAGCACGGGAGGGGGACTGGCTTGAATCCACCTTCTTGGGCTGCTTGTGGACAATTTAATTAATTTTAATTATTTCTTTTATTCCGTTTCCTGATTTATTTCATTTCCTAGTATGATTTAATTAGGACTTCTATTTTTATTAGAATTACTGATTTCCTATTTCTATTTAGTTTTCTAGAATGGTTTAATTAAGACTTCTATTCTTATTAGAATAGAGGTTTCTTATTCTATTTAGTTTCCTAGTATGATTTAATTAGGATTTCTATTCTTATTAGACTTAGAGGGTTATTTATACACTAGTATGCTTCATTCTTGATCATCTTTATCGTTGATTATCTGAGCAACGGTTTACTCGTTGATATTTTATTTTTATGTTCTCAACAATTGGTCTGACCTGCTGGATACCGAGATCTCAAAATGATCGCTTGACAGAGTTGGATGCCAAACAAGCTCGGATGAATCAAACCCTGTAGGAACACGAATTGCGGTTGGCTGAGATCGCTGCATCTCTGGCAGCGTTAACCCAAGCCCCGGTGCTGGCGGTCTCGCCAAAAACATCCTCGGTTGCGGTCAAAGTGTTGCCAAGACCGCGCCCAGCGACGACGGACTGCCGCACAACACAGCACCAACTCTGCTGCCCGCGTTTGACGGAGAAGACCCGATTGGGTGGACAACGCGTGTTGAACAGCAGTTTGAAGTCAACGGAACCCTACAACACAGGAAAGTGGTAGCGGCTGTAGTTGCCATGGAAGGGGCTGCCATCTTTGGGTAACCTGGCTGAGAGAGCGCAAGCCCGGCATGACCTGGTGTAACGCCCCTCTCAGGGTTAAAGGAGACGTTACATAAACTTACTATTTTAAAAAAAAATCTGCAATATAACGATCGTTTGTTTAAAAAATAACCCTAATAAAATCTCAAATATAACTAAAATATAACTCCAAATAAAACTCAATAAAATCGAGTTATCACCAGCAAATGTGATAACCACTTGGATCCAGGACTTTACTAAAACTTCAAATCCTCAAATAAAATAAAGTAATAATAATCACTTTATTATAACATCTGAAATACTTAAATAAAATAATAACTAGCTAGAAACCGCCAAGGTCGTTCCTGTTAACTCATTTCGGCACGCGTTCCACTCTCTCATCATCTTCCTAGGGCTTGGCCTTACCTTTAGTATCTGTAATTCTGTACATGCGAAGAAAGAAAACTGATAAGTTTTACGCTTAGTAAGTCACTATGGATCCACAAAAATATCTAAGAAGTCTATGCTAATTTATCAATAGATAAATTTAGGCTATAAGCATGCACTAAACAAACAACTATCAAATAGCTTCTCAAATAAATTCTGAGAGAGATCCCAAAAGAAAATATTTTCTCAAATAATTTCTGAAAACTACTGGAGAGATCTCAAAATTTCTTTCTCAAAACATCTCTATAAAACTTTCTGAAAGTGATCTCAAAAATCAATTTTCTATAAAACTTTCTGAAAGCATCTCATAAACTTTCTGTAAAACTCTTTGTGGCTAATTTTAACTGTGGGCCCGTGATATGTACTCAAAGGCGCCAATCCGACAGCTCAGGGCAGCGACCCACTGAACATATCGGACTCTCTGAAACCGATCAACTGATAATCTGAGGGAACTTGTTCCCGAGTACATATCACCTGATCTTTCACTTTAAATATTAGTTCTTTTTATGGTGACGTTTGAGTAAAAACATTATTAAAATCTTGAAATAAAGTACTGACATAATCTTGACTATGTCAAATAATAAACATAACTTAATACAACAATTACGATAATTCATCGAATAATTCACCAAGCTCACATAATAGCAAATAGTCTAAAATCATCTACTAAAAATCAACCAGACTTCTTTCCTTCATTTGGTTGAACAAACATGTACAGGTGGTAGAGAACTTACCTGTAGAAGCTGAACTCAAATTACTCAATTAAGTGTGGCACCTTGATAACGTCTTCCGGTAAGCTCTTCTTAAAACTCTTTACATAAATATAATACTATAATTAGAATTTAATCTTTGAGCGAGCTGCACAACCCAACTAAATTGATCTACCTAGAGATGCTATTTGAACCCATTGAACTTCACCAATTTAAACTCAAAAACGCAGCAAGGAGAATACATTTGAACTGCCACTAAAACAAAGACCATCAAGGGTGCCTGACAACTTTTCACAAATCCAAAAAGGAACTCACTTCCACTTAACTACTACTGCACTAGTAATTTAATAGATTTGAAGATCGTGGGCCATGTTAAAGAAACGGATATTGCAAAGTTGATAGAGAAAAGTTTAATTTGTAAACATAAATCCTCAATCATAGGCTTAGGTTAGATTGTATCGTGATAGCATAAACTTTTCAGTACCTAAAGCTTAAAATTTAACCTTCAAGTTATACAAAAGTTTTGTCGGTTCTGAAAGCAAAAACAACAATCTGACCCGTTTTAAAAACATACACAAGTTGCTTGGGTTTAACAATAGTAGCAATGAAACTGATTTTGTCTTTGTAATACCAATTCAGAAACAAGATTGATTACTAATACCATAGACTTAAATCAAAGTAACTCCTAGGGTAATGACTTTTCTTTGTAAGCTCAATCTATTTTAAGAGAACGACATTAGGAAGATAACAAATTTCAAAGAGACCTAGAAAAACACCTAATTATTTGGGAATTGCACAAAATAGAGTTAACCAACCTGGGGGACCAAAGGGCTGGAACAATTGTGGCCAACAAGAGACAACATGGAAGCAAGATACATACCAGTTTCTCGCCGTTCGGATGCTATGGAGGAGAGGAGATGTGCGGCTAGAGGACAAGGAGGATCCGCAATCGAGGCTACGGGAGGTGCGAAATCTTTCTACGGTCTTAGGTGCGTAAGTATACATAACATTAATCCTAGGGCTTTTATTATCAAAAGAATACTTATTTGGGCTAGGATTGATTTGGGCTCCTAATATTCTTGAAAAATCCAAAATTAAAAGTATTCTTTATTTCAAAATAAACTGATAAAGCTTAAAACATTACTTATTTCTTCATTTAAAATTATTAGAGCTTACCGGTCAATGTTACCTACCACAAACAAAACATGGTAAAATAATGTATCACATTATTTTATTCAACTGACTAAAATAAATAATAATGATTAATGTAACTTGCTCATAAAAATCGGGGTGCTACAACCCCTCCCACCTTAAAAAAGTTTCGTCCTCGAAACTTAGAACAACTCGGGATAACGATGTCTCACAATATTTCTTTTCTGACTTGTCACATGGTTGTAGCAGAACTCTTTTGTTTTTGCACAATCTGAAGCATGTTATAGAATCATCTCAAATCTGAGTTCACTGAGTCTATAATAGCTTAATATCTTTTACAATCTTACTTTACTTCAGGAGCACGTGACATTAACGCTGTAATTTCATATTGACATTTCTTCTAATTACCACTCTGTTCAAGTTTCTCTTATTGGGGAGACATACTACTACATAAGACTACACAAAGATCTCAACAATTTCTTGGTAATTTACCTTGATAAGAAAACTTGCTTAATTGCTCTCATGTTTTCTGTTAACACTACAACACAAATTCACAAGCTCACAACATAGAATATACATGTTAATTACTTTGCCCTGATTGCTTATTAAATAGTAAATTAGAAATATCTCCAGCTAAAACATCCTAGGGGTTTAAAATATAAACTCAAGTTTGAGGTTC